CATTTAACGCGAAGAGGCGCATTTACCCGAATATAAGAAATTTTTTTTATCAGACCTCTTTTCATTGATCTCCAATGCCAAATTAGAGTCCTTTTCTTTTTCAATGGGCTCCTGAGAACCTAATGGCTCGAATTCATCTCTCTCCTTCGTTGTAGTTCCCATAGATCTATGCCATAAGTCATAAAATCCCACAACAACGCTTGGTAGAACCTCGCGATGTTTTCGGACCCATATCGTAGGAATAAAGCCGTCAGGGTACACAGGAGAACCAGGTGTATACGGTGAAAGAGGAGAATGCGCGGAAATGGTAGAGTGATGTGGAGTTTGTGAAGGTCGCATCACAGGTTTGCGAGGCGGAAGTTGATAATTCTACATAAAATAGAAAAGAACTAGCTATTTAATAACTAATAAATTCAATTAATTCATAATTAATATTTTTGATCTTTGAATTTTCGCAATAATTATTCAAGTTAATTTTGGTCAATATACCCTAGATCAATTGATTTTTCCACGTGTAAAACGAACGATTCTTACGATGCTCCTTGAACATTTTCATTCAATTGTCAGTACATGACTAAATAAAAGCGATGGGTTTAAATTAAAATCGCTGGAAATTTTATTTTTGTAAAATTCTCGATATACACACCTTGTCTACAGCCACTACATGGAAATTGGTACTTGCACTCTTCCCAAGTTCCCATACACCATTTTGACTTTTTGCTGTTAGCAAGGTTAATAAAGTTTTTGACAACTGTTTCGAGGACAAGGGAGTAGTTCCAATAGAATTCTGTCTCGAATGCGTAGAGTGAGGGTTGGTAGGCGAGATTGGCGACGTAGAGGATTGTTCATTCAAGTCTTTAACAGTGCCTAATCCAATAACCATCATCAAAGGAACATGGTGAAGGATAAACTCGGGTGGATAGCTATCCATAATTAATGTTGGAGTGATGTTTCTCACGTAATCCTTATCGTTTAAGCAATAAGATCTGAGTCTCGTATTACA